ATAAAGGAGAAAAAATGCAAAAAAAAAAAAAAAAGTATCTCTAAAAGTTTGTAATAGCTGATAGAATGGGCTTTAAGCTTGCAGTCCTAAAACAATTTCCTTGAGTCACTGTTATAGTTAATAGGAACCTACTTAACTTCCTAAGTATAAACAGATGATTTTTATCATAATTCCTATCAATAATATCTTGCCTGAAATCTTTATGAAGCTGGTTTTTTGTCCCTAAGTCTTGTCTTACACTGGTATTTAGTCAAATCAAAAGCTACAAAATCATCAATTACATAAAAGCTGGCATTGAATAACAGCCATTAATCAAACATAAGACAACCTCATATGTGCATAATTAATAACTGTTTTCTCACTACATCAAAGACTATCGCCTTTCCATAAAATTTTAATCACTTTCCAACATATTCCCATCAACTTAATTGTGTTTGAACACAATATAAAAATTTAGAAAACTAAGTCAGTTTTAAAGCTTCCCAAGTTACAATTTATTAAGATTTGCTAACTCAAAAAAAATTCCAAGAAAATGAGCCACTTATGCAACTAATACAGAATTCATCATTGGAAAATCTTATGAAAACTGATGTAATTATTTAGCTTTTGAATGATTAAAAGAGAGACTTAGAGCAATACTACACAGAAAACATGAAAGTTATCAAGGGCCTCCCAGCACATCAGTCGACTAACTACATACAGATGCGTTCCAGGGTCCTGTGTGTGGTTAAATCAGCTGATCATGCAAGGAAGCCACACTAATGGACATATCGGCATAAGGAACATGTAAAAGAAAAGCTCCAACTGTTTAGTTTTGTTTCCTTAACTCATAATAATGGAAACTCACCTAAGTTTTTAAGTGTTTGGCTACTGGCTGAATGACTCTATTTTTCTCCCCACTCTATATGTGACTGATCATTACTTTCAAAACATCTTGTACACAATTAAACAAATAAATTGCATGCTGGGTGAGAAGCAAAGAGCTGCCTGGCCCAGCATTCCATCTCTGACACTGTTTTATAAATTTGTAGAAAGACGAGGCTGGGAGCTTTCAAAAGAATATCCAAAGTAGGCTTCTCACCAGACTAAGCACAGTAGTTCCCCCCTTACCTGAGGGGTATACATCCCAAGACCAAGTGGGTGCCTGAAACCTCAGATAGTACTGAAACCTATATACAAGGTCTCCCTGGAAAAAGCCCAGCCATTGTTAATATAACTAGAATGGTTTGCCCAGTATCGGTATTAACCTGACAGCCAAGGAGAGTGGACTGGAATGCACATGCATGAACAACAATGACTTCACTGTACTAGTCAGTGGGGGCGGTAGACGCTGCTGGGTGAGCGTGTGTACTGTGTGGCTGTCGCATTCAAAATGACTGAGCGAGTAGAGCAATGAATCTGCATCAAATTTTGCGTGAAGCTTGAACATTCCTCTACGGAAACTATTCGGATGATTCAGAAGGTCACAGCCACGGACAACTGGTGATTGGCAGCTTCATCACAACAACACACCCATCAACTTAATTGTGCATCATGCCATGCATCATGTCTTACGCAGAGTTTTTTGGCAAAACATCAAATCACCCAGGTGACTCAGCCCCCCTACAGCCCAGATTTAGTGCCCTGAGACTTCTGGCTTTTCCCAAAATGAAAATCACCTTTGAGAGGGAAGAGATTTCAGACCATCAATGACATTCAGGAAAATATGATGGGGCAGCTGATGGTGCCTGGGAGAACTGTGTGAGGTGCCAAGGTGCCTACTTTGAAGGGGACTGAGGCATCATTGTCCTATATACAATGTTTCCTGTGTCTTTTATCTTCTTCAGTAAATGTCTCTATTTTTCATATTACATGGCAGGATGCCTTCTGAATAGACCTACTATACATACCATTTTTTTTCCTATACATGCATACCTATGATAAAATTTAATTTATAAATTAGGCTTACTAAGAGATTAACTATAATAGCTAATAAAAAAAGTAGAACACCTAGCACAATATACTGTAATAAAAGCCATGCAAATATGTTCTCTTTCTAATAGTATTACTGTACTACACTCACATTTTCACTCCAAGGAAGCACCTACGCCTTCCCTTTGTCACATCGGAATCACCAGCATCAGCAGTCTTGCGCTTTGGAGCCATTATGAGTAAAATAAGCATTCCTTGAACACATCACTGTGATACTGCGACAGTCAATCTTATAACTAAGATGGCTTCTAAGTGACTGAAAGGCAGGGAACACATACAGCACAGATACACTGGACCAGGGTATGATTCACGTCCCCAGGCAGGACTGATGAGACGGTGTGAGATTTCATCACACTAGCCTGAATGGCACACAGCTGAAAACCTATGAATTGTTTCTTTTTGGAATTTTGCCTTTAATATTTCGGACCAGATTTGACAGCAGGGTAACTGAAACTACAGTTTAGGGGTGTCTGCTCTAAGGTAGACTCTCTGTTAGTGACCCTACATAATTGTAGCCACACTAGGACATAATTATATTAGAAACTTTTTTTACCTTAATATTTAATATTAATATTTAATTTATATTTTCACTTTCGATCAACTTTTCTGGTAATATAATTCAAGGTTTACCAAAATTGTTTTTATTTTTCTTAAAATTCATTTTTTAAAAGCTTCTAAGGCATCTCTTTGGTAGAAACAGACTATTTACAACTCTTAGAATACCACTTCTATAGCTGCATTTTTTTTTTTTGACAATGAAATCGTAGTTTGTGCATGTATATATGTAAATATACATAAAGTGGGGCAAAAGGTTTACAGTTGTGAGTATGTGAAACATTCTTGTATTATTAATTACTGTATTATTTTTTCATACAAACTGTAAATCTGCTTTTGCCCCACCCTGGATATATAATACATACACATGCACACACATGCACATTTTTAGGCCAAAGCAAAACTAAACATGCCACGATTCAGAACTTTTTCTAGGTGTTGGCAAACCCTGAGTTTGTATAAAGGTAAAAAATGTTCTGGTTTATTGCAAATTCTTTTCATGCTGTGGTTCAGAAGTATACTGGAACCTGGAACATATTTTGGATGTTCAGAAAAACAGTCTAGAATTACTACACTCTTGAATTCCACCTCTGGGCCACGAGGAACACAGTTCTTTTATGCTTGCCCACACCGGTTATATAAGCCTTTTCTCTTCATTAACTTAGGATTTTCTTGCATCTTAGCTACAGTTCGTCACTCAGGGAAACCTGCTATCATCTAAAATTGTACATTTTCTCCAGAATTATTCATGTTATTAAATGAGAAGCTAACAAATTCCTCTGACAATAGTCTTTTCTTTACCCAGACAAATTTCATTTACCCCAAAGAAATTAAATGACACATTTATGTCCCTTTTAGAAACAAGAGAATGTTTTAATTTTTAATAAGGTTTCTCTTTCTTTCTTGTCCCCACCATCACAAAATGGCCCACGCGGAATGAAGACCCAGGGTCAGGGCCGGGTCAACATCATTCCCGAGCACAAAGTCAACCGTCAACTCCCATGGAAAAATAAGAGCTCTTAGATTAAAGGTTATTATGGTCAATTTTCAATTAGTACCTCTCATTAGTAGAAGTGACAATGACAAAATAAAAATAACAATAATTATTGGTTCTGTTTCCTGAACGTGAATTATAATCTGTACTAGAAAAGCAGGTATACTAAATAAACATGGAATTATACCAAATAGTGTCCAAAAAATAACTCATATGTACAAGCACCTACTAAGACATAAAAATAACTAGGAACTACAGATCATGGAAAGAACTACAGATTTTAAGCCAGGAGGGAATCACCTTGTCCACAGCCATCATTCTAGTGGTAAAGAAACATGGCCTGAGATCACACAGGACTTGCAAGTTACATGGCAAGGACGGGCTAGAATGGGATTCCCCTCCCCTCTCCTCCCACCCTCCCTGTACCCTTCCTCCTCTCCCCTCCCCCCGTCCCCTCCCCTCCCTCTCCCCCCTTCTCCCCCCTCCCTTTTTTAATTTATTGATTTGAGAGAGAGAGAAAAGGGGAAGGGAGAAAGAGAAAGAAACACTGATTTGTTTTTCTACTTACGCATTCATTTGGTGCTTCTTATACGTGTCCTGACCAGGGACTGAACCCACAACCCTGGCCTATTGGGACAATGCTCTGACCAACTGAGCTACCCAGCTAGAGTAATTAAAACCCACGATTTCTGATTCTTAAAGCCTCACCTTGCCATTCTAAATTATAGACTGCAGTACCTACTGATATCATCTACAAACAGAAATTAATACAACTTGGTCAGTCAAAGGGAGCTAAATCCATTCTCAATGCTAGCAATAATGTGTATTAAAAGCTTGTTAGTTTGTTGCTCCTCCTAAGATCTCTGAAGAAAGAAGCTGCCCTCTTAGTGGTCAGGAGCACCAGCTGTGGAATCACTGTGCTTGGGTTCAACTGCAGGGCTGCCACTTACCGGCTCTGTGACCTTTCACAATTATTTGACCTCTGTATGCTCACTACTAATCCATATAATGGGGATAATATCAGCGCCTACCTTATAAGATTGTCATAGGGAATAATTAAATTAGTACCTGTAAAATAATTAGGATAGTGCCTGTCACATAGCAACAGCAAGAATATTAAACTCTTTCTCACTACATAGGTGTTGTGGGCTTTAGGAGAGTAATAATTACCACTAGGTCCTTGGACACTTCTGTATGCTAAGATATAGTAGATACAGCAGACTCAGAAATGTCAATGCTGCCCTTAAATACTTAGTGACAAAATTCCTGTAATCATGAACCATGAAACCAGGTTCAATTTTTCTTTCTAACTTCTGGAGTATGAAGAAATTAGTCTCCTTGATTTGCCTTTCTCTAAAATGTGTACAACAAAGTTTGTCATCACCAAAGTTGTTTTAAAATGAGTCAACACGTTAAATCCCTGGGAGCAGCTTAGAACACAAGGTATTTCATAGATTTTTGCAGCGAATGTAAAACTTACTGTTCAGAGTCATAGTAGTCCATACGCTTCTTTTTTGTGTTGTACGCTGCGACTCGAAAGGGAACTATTTCCAAAGTGATCAGGCCAGGGGCCATGGTCAGCACTTTGGCGCCATGAGTCGGCTCATAGAGATCCTTCCCTGTTTCTGGGTGCGGCACGCCAGCGGGGTCTCGTCCAACAATGTAAAAGTTGGCTCCTGCGACCATGCGTGCTCTGCAATGCCACTGGACCTGGAATAAAAGTTTTCACATTAGATAACTACACTTTTACGACTGGTCCTTAGAAAGAGTAAGTGAATAATAAGTGCATATACTTCTTACACAATCCATTTCTACCAGGAGGAAATCCCAACAAATTTAAATGTATAAACTTGGGAAGCAAGAAACAGAATTGGCAAACCCTCCCCCTCAAAAAAAAAAAATCTAAAAGTATAAATGTGTACACGTGTTTTCACATATGTATTTATATATTTTTACTTATAGGAAATATGTGAGCATACATGTGTCTATATGTATGATTCTACACAACTACTAGATATCATTTACATATAGTTCAAAATCTAATCCAGGAGGTTAGAAGTCAGGGTAGTGGTTGATCCTTTGAGGGAAGCAACCAGAAGGGGCTTCTGGGATTCTGGTAATGGTGATGTTCTGCTGTTCTTTTGTAGCTTTTTTGACAGATAAATTGACAAAATTATATATATTAAAGAATACAACACGATGACTTGAGAAGTGTATATACTACGAAATACCTACCATAACCAAATTAATTAACATATCCATTACATCACATAGTTAACCTTTCTGTCTGTGGTGAGAACAAACGACCTACTCTCTTAGCAAATTTCAAGTATACAACACTGTATTATTAACTATGGCCACCTAAATTAAATCCTCAGAATGGATTCATCTTTTAACTGGAAGTTTGTACCATTTGACCAACTCTGGATGTAAGAGCTAGTACCTAATGCACTTCGATGTCAGTTCTAGAAGTCCCTGGTAATGTTCTGTTTCTTCACTTCACCAGACGCTGGGTGCTGACAACCAGACAGTGCCCACTGTGAAAACTCATTAAGACGTCTGTACACTTACGTCTTACGTCATTAAGACGTATGTGATTTATGTAATTTTCCTATGTTACACTTTAATAGGTTAAAAAAACTACTGCATGAAAATGAGTTAAATTTAAATTTAGAGACTTACATAAACTGGTACTGAGGAAACTCATGTAGCTAAGTGACTATGACCCAAAATATTAGGTAAGAACTAAACAAGGTATTTGTCTACATCCAAAACTACCTTTGAAGCCTAAACTTTCACATTAAGACATCGTTTAAAAACAAAAATCAGTCCAACACCTAGAATTTACAAGTTAAAATGACTGTAAGAGATCATCATTCTCATTAAAACCTGAAGAAAGCAAAACCCAAAGTAAGCAACACGGCCAATAAAGTGCAGAGCAAACCCAGGTCTAGAAATCTGTTTTTAGCTCCCTTTCCATGTAAGGTTCCAGTATTTAGTGATTTTTATAAAACCATCTCTGTTCTGCATGAAAATAAGGCCTACATACAAAACGAACACTATACATCATTTTCATTTTATCTCTCTTATAGTTTCTCTTATAACAGGTCCTTGTATATTTAGTGACACATTTAGAAAGTGCAACAGCGTGAAGGCAGTCTCATACCCCACACTTGAACGGTCATCTGAATGGTCACCCCAAGGGGTTTGTTTTTCAGTTGTTTCTCCTGATATTTACCTCTTTATTTCCAAATGACATTCACATACTGCCATGCCTTGACTGTTTAATTTTAGAGATTATACAATGTAGATATTATTTCCATATTATTTTTCCTACAAAGATGAGGTTTGGCTTTTACTCCACTCTCATTCTTCATCCCATTTATCCAATAATTACAATGTTATCTACCTTTTTGGTGAAATCAACATTCACCTGTAAAAACAGAAGTTTTAAGTAAACTAATATATGAAACATACGAGGATGCAGAATAGTACCTGGTTGTTGGGGGAAAACCCCAAAAGTCTAAATTCAGGATTGATTAAAAAAAACTGACACGTAGCATTATTCAAATTCCTAAGAGCTTTAACAGATGAAACTCTGCATACGGGGGCAAAGGAGCTGCTCCCAGGGGTAGCCGGCTGGGGAAAGCCACAGCCCTCCCGGGACAGGGTCCCTTTTTATAGGTGGTTAGAGGAAACCCATATGGTGGGTAGTCACAACCACCACCAGAAAGAACAACATATTCCTAAATCAACAGATAATATCAGGAAGTTTTCCGCATCCTATACATTCATTAACCTCCTTCCGGGGACATGACATTTTTCTTTGGGAGACATTCTAGTTCTCTGGGTGGTCAGCAAAGCCTGAGGCTACAGAGAATTAAACAGAAAGCCCAACACTTCCCAGATGACTTCGCATCTCAGTAAATTCTACTATACTGGTACAAAGTAAAATACTGGCTGTTATAATCATTTTTATTTTATTCTTCTCCTTGTACAACCGTTTGTTTTTCCTAGTTAATAACTGTTTTGATTTTTTCCACTCATTTAGTTTTCCATATACCTCTATGCCTATGTACCTTGTACTGTCCTTCTTCCTAAACACATACTTTAATATAGTTCCCAGCCACCCTTGCAGAGTGGCCAGGTGGCTGAGTTCTGCCCAAAGGGATGAAAGCCAAAGTGACGTATGCCACTTCCAACTGTGGAATGTTAAAAAGCCTGCTGAGTACTCTCTTAATTCTTGTCTCCCCATTTGCCAGCTGAACAGAGAAGACCCCAAGGTCCTACAACTACACCTTTCTCTGCCATAGCATTAATTCTGCATACATTGAGCTGCAATAGTTTCTCTGAACAGGATGGCAGAGCACAATGCTAACAGACCTGTGTTCCCCATAGATGCCATTTCTTTCCCTACCCACCCTCAGATTCAGCTCTACAGGAACATTCTGCTCACTCCCCTCTGCCCCTTCACAGTTGTCACGCAGACCTCTGCAAATCTTTTCTGCCTCATGCAAATTACTGGCTGCTTACACAGCATTAAACTTAAAAGGCAGTCTATGTAAATTCTCTGCATCTAGGTGAACTTACTTTGCTCATTAAATATGTATGCCTAGACATTGAAGTCACTCAAGTACCACAAGGTTCATAAACTGGGAATACATGGCTTAATTTTAATATTTAAGGAAGCCCAGATCATTTACTCCAATCACCTCCACCGTATTAAAACAAGAGGGGAAACTGAAGCTCAGAAAAATTAGCACCGCACAGGGTCACAAAGCACGTGGTGGGTGGCAGTGGCCAGTCCTAATTTTGCCTTGTGAAATTACCAGTCAATTAAATTGCTCCTTTACTTCTAGAGGTGATGTAAGTAAATTAAAGGTAAACACACCAAACAAGCAGTCAACATTCTCCTGCAGATGACCTGAAGTATTTTAATTTACATGTTAATGAATGGTTTTCTTATGAGAACACTTTTAAAACTGTAACAAAAACGAATAAACAAAACACATGCAACTCTTCCAAGAATACCTGGTGTGAGTTAACTTCTATTCTACCCTGTTGAAAAGGTGATATGCTTTGATAGAGAGAATGCAGTTCAGTCCAGAGCCAATGCTGTATCTGGTTAAGCACACAGGCTTCAGATCAGGCCATCCTAGATCTGCACCCCGACTTTGCCCCTTACTAACTGAATGCCCTTAGGCAAAAATGAGGATAACACCTAACACATAAGGTGGATGGGAGATTTGCAAGTACCAAGGGCAGCAGCTGGCCCTCAATAAAGGACAAACATTGTTGCAGTTACTATTATTCTATAAAACATTCCCAGGCAATCCCAGTTGAATTAAGTGCTCCCTAACCCGCGTTTCTAAAAAAATCCATTTGCTCTATGAAAAAGATGATGCACTGCTTGGAAGATGGTCACTAAAAAATAGTAAGAGCTGCCTGTTCATCTCTCCAGCAGACTGAGGTCAGGGTGTGTTATTTATCTCTTTATGCCCAGCGGCTCGCATGATGTCTGGAATAGTGAATGTACACTGAACAAGAACAAGGTGATGTCTACAGGTTTTCTATGAAGCCTTCCAAGAATTGGTAAATGGCCAAACTAACAACAAATGCCATATTTTCTGCTTTACTTGCATCTGTGTGCCAAATAACAAATAGCTTTGCCACTTTTTCTGATTATAAAAGTAAATTAATTCATATTTGGCAAATACTGCTGGATGCCTACACATCGACTGACTGACATCTCCTTGCCCTGATATCCCTATTTCATGATGACAAAAACATCCCTCTAGAGGGTGAGAAGGGCAGGCCCTCGCTTCCCTATCTTCCTTGCACACAGCCACGCAGGATGCAAATAACAGGCCTCTGCTGGGACTTTTCTGAAGAGCTTTTCTTCCCTAATAAAATTCTCGACTCTTATTTATCCGAAATGTCTTGACTTCACCTTTATTTTGGCTGGAAAACAAAGTTCTAAATTAACAGTCTTATTTTTTATTTTTTTTGGTTTTTTCCTTGCTTTTCCTTAGTGATGTTAATCTACTGCTTCCAGTTCCCATTGCTCCTGAGAAGGCAGACACCTTTCCTATCGTTTCCCTAATGTTCCCTCCTCACCTCTCCCTCCCTCCCCCTCTCTGCGTTCAAGGTTCCTCTTTATATAATCATTTTCAGCAAACTGACTACTATGTGCTTAAGTCTAGTTTTCTTTGAATTTCTTTTTCTAAGATTGTAGGCTTCTTGAATTTTTAGGTTAATGTTTTCATCACCTTCAAAAAACATTTAACCACCATTTTTTCAAAGCCGCCTTCTGCCTCATCATCTCTCTCCTCCTTTCAGAAAACCAATTATACTTATGTTAGGTGGCTTGACAGTATCTACAGTCACTGAGGTTCTGGCTCATTTTCCCCATTGACTTTCTCCCCCCCCCCCCCCCCCGCCAAATAATTTCTATTAACCTAACTTCTGGCTCACTGATCTTTTCTTACACCAACTCTAGTCTAATTTTAGTCCATCCAATAAAAGTTTTCATTTCCAGTACTATACTTTCTTAGTCCTTGACTTTCCATTTGATTTTTCTTAATTTCCATTCTTTCTGAGATTCCCCATCCACAGACTATATTTTCTTTTAAAAAGCTTTAAATGCTTTTATTTGCTAACACCGGCATCAGCTCAAGGTATGTTTCTAGTTAACAGCTTTTATTCTGCAT